CAACAGATAAAAATGGGGAGAATCCAGTGCTGTAAGAGCTCTGTACGAGCATCACAGTCTGGTTAGAAGAGGTCACAGACTAGACCAGCACAAGTCCACCCACGCAGGCGTTGGTCAGCAATCCCAGGCTCCCCAAAATGTGCAGCAGAGGGCTAACCAGGCAGCTGGCACTTCAGAAATATCAAGAGACTAAATTGCTTCACTATGTCTTCAATTTCTAAATTACTCCCTTCCTTCAAATAATTTTTGAATCAGAAATACTGCTTTTCAAAAAGAATGTTTTCTGCTAAAAATGTCTTTTTAAGACACCATAAATGTAAAGTGAATACTTTCCCCTTATTTATACATCTGTTCTGGCTGAACACAATCAAAATGAAATTTATAAAAGGAAAACTTCCTTTGGTCCATATTATTGCTCCCCTCCCGAGTGTTCCTCAGAAGCTTAGGAAATAAGTTCTGAAAGCAAACTTTTCCTCTGTCCTGGGAAAGGGAAAAACCTGGGCCTCTTGACCTATAAAACTCAGTATTTTGGAACATCCGTAATTCTCCCCAGTCTGTGCCAGTCACACAGAGTCTCCCTTCAGCAAACCACCCGCCAGGCAGGGCTGGGCAGCAAGGCTCTCACCCGCAGGAGTTGACAAGAATAGGACTCAAAAGCTCCCTGAGAAAAAAGTCTCTACTTCAACTTGCATTACAAACTGTTGGAAAAGACAGATGGAGGGGATGACAGGAAAAGCCATTATTTCTTCTGGGCTTCCTTTTTGTCTGGATTCTAAGGAGACGAATACAAAATTCCATCACAGATTGAAATGCTATCTAAACATTCTTGAAAATGTGGTCTTACTCTCTGAAATGTGACCCGCTTTGCTCTACAGTAACCTGTAACCTATTAACGTGTGAGGCGGGGAGGCCGACATCCCTGCAGGCTGGCTAACTCTGGGACCGGCTCCCCAGCACTGCCAGTTTGTGACCACAGGTTAAAACATAACTAAGAGATATGTATCTGCATAGCATGACCCAACAAAAAGTCTTGATGAATCATTTACTTTACTTTCACATTCTTGGAATTGTAAATACCTGAGTCTCTCTTTTGTGTATTAAGGTGTCTAGTGAGCCATTCTCAATACAGGCTGAATCACAATAAATAGTAGCATTATTATTTCAAATAGTAAGTTGCAACTAGTCATACACAAATCAAGTTTTAAACAATAGTTAAATAAACCGTTATTACACATGGGCTATGTGTTCTGAGAAGTGTGAAGGTGAGAAAGACGCAGTTCTTGACTCAAGAACTTATAAACTAGTCAATGGGACAAGATGTGCTCACTAGCACGTCAAAGGAGACCAGGAAAGCCAAATGTAAGGTCTGAGCACAGGGCTGTGGGAGTCTGCAGGCAGAAAGGAATATATATAATTCACTGAGGGACACTGGGATCAATTTTCTCACCTGTAAAACGAGAGGACTGGACCAGACAAGTTTCAAATCCCTTCTAGTTCTAAAATTCTGACTCCTTCGGTTTGTCTAGTTAAGCTGAACCAAAAATTTCATGAAAGAAGTGGTAGTTGAGCTGGGCCTTAGGAATAGGTAAGATTTTGGAATTAAGCTATTGGGAGAAAAAGAATAGAGAGAGAGAGCTGAAACCGGTTTGGCTCAGTGCATTCCGGTCAGGGGCATGTACGTTGGTTGCGGGCACATACCCAGTAGGGGGTGTGCAAGAGGCAGCAGCTCGGTGTTTCTCTCTCATCGACATTTCTAGCTCTCTATCTCTCTCCCTTCCTCTCTGTAAAAAAAAAAATCAATACATTATAAAAAAAGAAGAAAAAAGAATAGAGAGAGAGAATTATAAGCAAAAGGAAGAACAAATCTAAGTCCAGAAACTGTTAAGTCTTCAGTATGGATGAAACACAGACAAAGGTAGATTGAGACCCTGAATGCTAAGGGAAAGAATTTGGGTGTAATGTGGTAGGTAGACAGAGGTTTCTGAAGAGGAAGACGACATGACTAGATGACATGACATTTCCTGCTATAAGGGCCCTGATTACATGGGCCTCACCTGCCAGAGAAGCAAAGCTTCACTGGAAAAACCTAAATAGAGATAAAGCAAAACAAAAGCTAAAAATCATGGAAGGACTAGGAAATAGGACCAGTTTTAGGAAGTTAGTATGTCTACACGCAAATAGTGATGGTGACAACACGGAAGATGGTAGACTACTTATAAGTAGACCAACAGAAGGAAAAGAAAGTCATAAAATGTAGGAAAAATAGAGAAATAAATAAATTGAAAATGTGAAAGAAAGAGATTCAGCACATGTCAGCTACTAGTAGAGAGAACAGGAATATAAGATGAGGAAGTTTCTACAAAGGATTACAACCTCCACCTACCTTCCAAAAATCTGGGTAGCAAAATTAATATTTTAAGAAATCAGCTGTACTGACAGCTGTTGGCGGGGAGGAGGCTGGGTGAAATAGGTGAAGGGGGAGAAACGGTGATGGGAGACTTGACTTTGGGTGATGATGCATTATAGAATTGTACACATAAAACTTATATAATCTTATTAATCAATGTCATCCCAATAAATTCAATAATTTTATTTTTTAGCCGAAACCAGTTTGGCTCAGTGGATATATATTTTTGAAATTTTTTTAAAAAAGGAATCAGCTGTACTAAAAAATGTTAAACAGGACAAATAACAGAACTGAAGCTATTATTACAAAGATGCACACTAGACCTAACTGAATGAGCATTGGTAAGGGAGCACCAGACACTGGATGAGAGGAAGAGTAGGAAAGACATGCTCAGCATTTCTGTCAAGATGGCAATTTCTGAAATATGATGCCTAAACAGAAAAATAAAATCCAAATGAAAGGGGAAATGTTTAGTAGATAACATCTGGCCTTTGAATCATTGAAAAATACCTCCTCCCCATATGCTTTTCCCTTCATTCCCTTCCAACAGCCCTCCTTTGCTAGCTCCAAAGGAAATGTAAAACTCTTGAAATCAATCTGGTTACCTGTTTGCCAACAAAACTAGGCATGAGGAACTGTAGCTATGACACATTCCTATTTTTTGTAATATATGAATTTTATTTCCATCTTGATTTTTTAAATTTATTGTGTTAAAATACACATAAAATTTATCATCTTAATCATTCTTAACTGAATGAAGTAAGTACATTCACATTCTCGTTCAGCCATCACCACCATCCATCCCATAATTCTTCTCAGCTTGTAAAACTGAAGCTCTATACCCATTCTCCAATAACTTTCCATTCTCCCCCAGCCCCTGCCAACTATAATTGTACTTTCTGTCTTTATGATTTTCACTATTCTGATTACTTCATATAAGTGGAATCATATGGTTATTTTTTTGTGACAGGATTAGTATAATGTTCATTTAGTATAATGTGTGCACGTTCATCCTTATTATAGCATGTGTCAGAATTTCTCTCCTTTCTAAGGCTGAATAATATCCCACTATTTACATATACACATTTTGCTTATCTATTCATCTGTTAATGGACACTTTGCTTCTACGTTTTACCTATTGTGAATAAAGCTACTATTAATGTGGCTATGCAACTATCTCTCCAAGACCCTGCTTTCAATTATTTTGGGTATATACCCAGAAGTAGAATTGCTGGGTCATATGGTAATTTTATATTTAAAATTTTTTTAGGAACTTCCATACCGTTTTACACACAGCTGTACCATTTTACATTCCACCAACAGTACACAAGGGTTCCAATTTCTCCATATCCTAAAGGACTATTTCCTAGTCCTTGCATGATGTTTAGCCCTATTGCTTTGCTGACACTTGTTTCCTGTTTGTTTGTTTGTCTGTTAATATATTTTTATTGATTTCAGAGAGGAAAGGAGGGGGAAGAGATAGAAACACCAATGATGACTAAGAATCATTGATCAGCTGTTTCCTGCACACCCCACACTGTGGGGTCAAGCCTGCAACCCCGGAATGTGCCCTGACCAGGAATTGAACCGTGTTCTCCTGGTTCATAGGTCAATGTTCAACCACTGAGCCATGCTGGCCGGGCGTTTTCTGTTTTTTTGATAGTAGCCATCCTATCAGTAGGTCAAATCTCACTGTAGTTTTGCTTTTCATTTTCCTAATAATTAGTGATGTTGAGCATCATGTACTTAGTGACTAATCTTATATCTTCTTCTGAAAAATGTCTCTTCAAGTTCATTGCCCACTGTTGGGCTGTTTGGATTTTGTTGTTGAATTTTAGGAGTTCTCAATATATTTTGGATATTAATCCTTTACCAGATATATGATTTGCATATATCTTCTCTCATTTTGTAGGTTGCCTTTTTACTCTGTTGATAGTGTCTTTTTTAAATATATTTTTATTAATTTCAGAGAGGAAGGGAGAGGGAGAAATAGAAATATCAATGATGAGAGAGAATCACTGACTGGCTGCCTCCTGAACGCCCCAATGGGGATTGAGCCTACAACCCAGGCATGTGCTCTTGACTGGAACTGAACCTTCAGTCCACAGGCCAATGCTTTACCCACAGATCCAAACCAGCTAGGCTGTTGATAGTGTCTTTTGATGCATAGATTACTGCCATCTTTTGCAGTAACAAAAGTAATACCAAAATCCCAACAACTTAGCTAGATAAGCTAGATAAAAGTAGCAGCCACTTTTAGCCACAGCACAGAAAAGATAGGGGGCACAAGAGACATCTGCCACTGAGGATAAAGATAAGGAATGTTTTTCATTTCAGCTTGCATGCCCCAGCCTGGCTGAGATGTGCTGATATGCCCCTGGCTCAAGGGACACTGAGTAAAAGAGTTCATGGCTGGTCTGGGCAGCCCACCTCCGTCACTAGTGGAACAAGTCACCTACCTTTCCTGCTGTGTATGGGACAGAGCCATAAGAAAATGCTCTGTGAGGAGGCAGTTCCACACTTTGGTCACTTGGTAGTTGGGTTCTGAAGAAATCAGGGGAGTATAATTAATAGGGAAGAATAAGTTACTTACTTGCCTGCCATCTTGTCCCACATTTGTTTGGCCTCTTACAACAGTTCGAATATTGTCATCCAGTCTCCTGGTAAAAAAGTTAAAGAATACAAATCATTAAAATAATCTCTATTCTAAACTGATCAAAGAGCAAGAGTTAATAATTTACCCAGCATCTTCTGCAGATTGTACCCACTTGTCCAGAAAATCAAACAAGTTTGAATGATATAAGAAAGACTGAGGCCTTGGGCCCAAGTGGAGCATAACAGTCGTGTAAAAAGCCCAGCCCAGCAAAGACTGAGGAGTTGTCTTTGTTTTTGAAAAAAGGGCTGTTTTCACTTAGTATTCAGAGTATCCAAAGGACCCATATAACTTTTAGTATTTTTCATGGAGTAAACCAAAAATGAGAAAGTTGCTGAAACTTTATGGGAAGAAGCCAGAGAATTCAAATTACCCCACATAAATTTTTTCCTCAGAAACTTCCTCCAGAACCTTAAAAGGGATAAGGAGCCAGAGTAATATATGAAATCAGTGCTTTGCCTCTGGGCCCGATTGTGCAACCTATGTAGGAGACAGATCTGCAGCCTCCAGCTCCTCTTTCTCCAGTGGCTCAACGGGGGCCATTAATGATGTCTCAAACATAGACATCTATTTTAGTCAATTCCATTTTCATTGGAAGAATCCATTAAAGGTATGCGAGCAGAAGGAAAATAACTGGTTCGCAAGCGATTTCTGGATCATCAAAGAATTTCCATTATCTGCAAACCCTAGACAACTTAGTGGTCTCCACCAGAATTGTTATAGCAAACGTCTACCAAAACGATGAACTGGCTATTATATACTTCTTCCCCCCCCCCCCCCAAATATATTTTTTATTGATTTTTCACAGAGAGGAAGAGAGAGGGATAGAGAGTCAGAAACATCGATGAGAGAGAAACATCGACCAGCTGCCTCTTGCACACCCCCTACCGGGGATGTGCCCGTAACCAAAGTACATGCCCTTGACCGGAATTGAACCCGGGACCTTTCAGTCTGCAGGCCGACACTCTATCCACTGAGCCAAACCGGTCTCGGCTATTATGCACTTCTTAAGGCATCCAATTCAACAAAACATTAACAATAGAGGTCTTCACCAAAAAAAAAAAAAAAATTCAAAGGTTGTAAGAGGAAAAATTCATCTCCTGGATTCAAAATAAAGTCTTCTCATCATCAAAAGTTAAAAAACAAATCTACACTTAATATATTTAATTATAGTCATACACACACACACACCACACACACACACACACACACACACACACACACACACACACACACACGAGAAAATGCTAATTGACCGTACCTTTGCTATGCCCACGGTCAATCAGAGTGAGTATGCAAATTAACCCAACAAAGATGGCGGTTAATTTGCATACACTGAAGGAGGGAACCGTGAAGACTGAAGACAGCTTAGAAGGAAGAGGGAAGAAAAGAGGAAAGTAAGGTGGATGCCAGAAGGAAAGTGTGGGTGGGGCGGGGCAGATGGGACAGGTGGCGGCAGCAGCGCCCTTGACCTGGGCGGCCGCTTATAGGAATCTTCCTTTACACACACACACACACACACACACACACACACACACACACTAGGAGTCCATTGCAGGAAGATTATATTTATGGCTAAGTGATCGTCCAACTGTCCAACTGTCCGGTACATATGATGTGCACTGACCACCAGGGGGCAGACGCTCACTACAGGAGCTGCCGAGCTGTGGTGACTTGGCAGCTGCGGTTCTCAGGTGATGCACCCCGGGACCAGAGAGGAAGGAGCCCGGTTCCTTAAGGGGCCGTGCAATTCCACCTTTGTTGTGGGTTGCTGGAGCACTGTCAGCCCTGAATCTGGTTTATTGTCGATAACATTTACTAATATACATTTTATTACTTTTCTTTCACCTTTGACACTTCTATTATAAAGGGCGAATAGCAATATTAAAATATTTCTTGTAATTAATTTCCTTTCAATATGCATGAATCCGTGCACCAGGCCAGTAGTTATGGTAATAATTATAATGAGTAAATAAACACTGAGTATCTACCATGTGTTAAAACTGGAAATTCAGATGTGGACAAACCAGAACAAGGGTATTGGGCAGGAAGGACACCTAGGCAATCACATCCTAGATTAATCACGATGTTTAATCTTGGGCCACCACCCATACCAACCAGCAGATCTAACCTCATTGGTAGCTGGTATACATATAAGCCCATATTCATGTCTAAGCCTTAGGAATACACACACACACACACACACACACACACACACACACACACACGGTAAATCTATTAGGGCAATAAAGCCATTGCAAATACAGTAGAAATGCTGCCCTGGCTGGTGTGGATTAGAGCAGCATCCTGTGCACCAAACGGTCCAGCATTTGATTCCTGGTCAGGGCGCATACCCAGGTTTCAGGTTTGATCTCTGGTTAAGGTGTATTTGGGAGGCAACTGATCCATGTTTCTCTCTAACATCAATGTTTCTCTCTTTCTCTTTCTCTAGCTCTCTCCTTTCCTCTCCTTTTAAAATCAATTTTAACCAGTTAACTGCCATGATATTTTGAATTTAATTTAAAAAGGTCTACCACTTGCATCTATAGATGCTATGGCATACAAATGGTTAAAAAATATGTAGAAATCTTTTGCCTCCTTTTATAATCAGCTGTTCTGAATAGCCTGGCCTTCCTCCCTTTTTACAAATAACTGAAGACTGATAAAAGAATTGAGGTCTTTGCCACAAGGCTTGTATGAAAACCCAGATAAAAAGAATTATTTTTCTTTCAAATGACCATTTACAGCAAAACTGAGATGTCAGATAATGAAGCACATTTTTTATTATTAATAATCGTATAGTATTACTTACCTTATTTTCAGTCTAATCTTGTTCACAACTTCGTCTATGTTTGACAGAGACTACAATAAAGAAGGAAAAGTGCCAGCTATTATTTCACTTCCCAGAATTCCTCTTTTATAGGGAAATGATGAACTATAATGGCTATTGATGACATCTCAGAAAATTTAATGAGTATAATTCAATTTTCACTTAAAAAAAAGTATAGCAGTAATTGGCAACTAGTGCAAAATCCAGACTGGTTTCTATTTTTATAAATAAAATTTTATTGGAACACAGCCATACCCGTTCATTTACATATTATCGACAGCTGGCTTTGAATTACAAAGTTGAGTAATTGCAACAAAGATTGGATGGTCCACAAATCCTAAAATATCTATTATCTAGCCCTTTACAGAAATTGCCTGACCCCTGGTATGTAGAATCATAAAAAATTCATACAACATATATAGCAATGAAATGAATGATATATATATTGATATATACAACAACATGGATAAATCTTACTAATATAATGTTGCACACACAAAAAAAGCTTGACAAGAGCATATACAGTAGGATTCCATTTTTATAGTTCAAAAATGAGTGAAACTATTCTCTTTCGTTTTAGAAACAAAGATAGTGGTTGTCTTTGGAGGGGACAGTGACTATGAGGAGGCAAGACAGGGCCATCTAAAGATGTTTTATTTCTTCTTTTTTAATATGTATATATATATTTGTATTGATTTCAGAGTGGGAAGGAGAGGGAGAAAGAGAAAAATCAATGATAAGAGAGAACCATTGATTGCCTGCCTCCTGCACAGCCCCCTACTGGGGATCAAGCCCACAACCTAGGCATGTGCCCTTGACCGAAATCAAACCCAGACCCTTCAGTCTACAGGCCGACACTCTATCCACTGAGCCAAACTGGCTAGGGCATGAAGATGTTTTATTTCTTGATCTAGGTGGTAGTTACATGGCTGAATTCATTTTGTGAAAATTCATCAAGCTATACACTTAAGATTTTGTACTCTTCCACATTATGTTACACTTTAATAAATAAATACATCTATTTTTCCTAAGTGTATAGGTCCACTAGAAAACAGACTGGAATGGTAAATACTAGATCTTATAATCTATACTAGTAGCTAGAATCTATGAAGTCAGTAACAGTATGTAATCCACGAAAAGGAAAGATTTTAAATTTTTCTTTTTGCCTGAGTATTTTCTAACTGCTCTATATTGATTATGCATTGCTATTGTAATTATAATACAGATATTTCTGTTTTTAAGACAATGACAATAGAAACAAATGGACTAGTTCCAACATTAGGGAGCAAAAAAATGTAAGGAAATGGTGCCCTCTAATGGAATAGAGATGGTACAACTTAATAGCATATTTTTTTTATTTTTGGTTAATCCTCACCAGAGGATATTTTTTCCCATTGATTTTTTTTTTTTAAAGAGGGTGTGGAAGGGAAGGAGGAAAAGAGGGAGGGAGGGAGGAATATATATATATATATATATATATATATATATATATATATATATATATAGAGAGAGAGAGAGAGAGAGAGAGAGAGAGAGAGAGAGGGAGGGAGGGAGGGAGGGAGGGAGGGAGGGAGGGAGGGAGGGAGGGAGGGAGGGAGGGAGGGAGGGAAATTGGTTGCTTCCTGCACATGCCCCGAATGGGAACTTGACCAGGAATCAAACCCGAGATCCTTAGGTGTGAAGGTGGACACTCTTAACCACTTAGGCACCAGTCCTCTTCCTCTTCCTCTTTCTCTTTCTCTTTCTCTTCTACTAACAGATATTCTATCTGAGCAAGAATAGGGGGTGATGTAGGAATTGCCTCCAGCAACCTGTGCTGGCAGGAGAAGACCAGGCTCCTGCAGGGAGTAGGGCTGGTAAGGAAATCAGGTCACAAGTGTTTGAGATTCAGATGGGGCCATTCGCATCTTGTCTACTGTTTCAACAAAGCTCTGAATTTCAGAAACCCAAGAACAGACTGAGGTGACAATAAATCTCAGAAAAGAGAAGTTATTTTAATTGAGGAATCCTCTGTCATTTCAAAACCAGACTGAGTATAAATCACCACGGTGAGCGAACCTGAGTAGTCAGAGGACCTGGGTTTGGCAAATCTCTGTCACAAACAAATTTGCTGTACGTCTAGAGGGCAAGAGGTTTAACCTCCCTGAGTTTCTATTTCCTCATATGCAAAACAGACATAATAGCTCGCATCTGGCTTATCTCTGCTGGAACTCATTCCTTGTTTAAAAAACAATTTTGGTATTTAAAAAAACTATTTTAAAATTGTTAACATTTGGGAAATTGGGGGTGAAGGGTAGCCATGAATTCTTTTTGTTTATTTGTTTGTTTATTTTGTTAATACTCACCCACGGATAGTTTCCCATTAATTTTTAGAGCAAGTAGAAGGGAGAGGAAGAGACAGAGAGAGAGACACACACAGATTGGTTGCCTCCCACATGCGCCGACCAGGGCTGGGGAAGGACCTGCATCCGAAGTTTGCGCCCTTGACCAGAAGTGAACCCGTGACCCATCAGTCCCTGGGCGGATGCTCTATTCACTGATCCAAACCAGCTAGGGCAGCCATGGATTCTTTGCACTAGTCTTGCATCTTTTTTACAACTGGGAAATCATCAAAATTTAAAATTGTAATCTATTTTAAATTGGTAGAACATGTAGATGACCAAAATTCAAACAGAAAAAGGCAGACAGTGAAAAGCAAGGCTTCCTTTGCCCTGTTCTGCCCGTCCACCTCCCGGTCTCCTCGCCAGAGGCAACGGCTCTGGGCCAGTTTCTTTTGCACGTTCTCGGAGATACCTCTGTATCTGAAGCAGACCCATGCCTTACATCCCCTTCCTCATATAAATGCACACTGTCTATACCATGTTTTTTTCACTGAACAGTACAACCTGAAGATCATTCCACATCAACAAATGTTTGGTGGTACAGTAACAATTGCTTAAATTTAATACTCTGTAGACACAAAAGTCTTGGTTAAGTCATAACAATTTTCCTGAAAAAAATAACTCAAGCCGAAACCAGTTTGGCTCAGTGGATAGAGCGTCGGCCTGCAGACTGAAGGGTCCCGGGTTCAATTCCGGTCAATGGCATGTACCTTGGTTGCGGGCAAATCCCCAGTAGGGGGTGTGCAAGAGGCAACTGATCGATGTTTCTCTCTCATCGATGTTTCTGACTCTCTGTCCCTCTCTCTTCCTCTCTGTGAAAAGTCAATAAAATATATTTTTAAAGAAAGAATAACTCAAAATATATTATGCTTTCAGATGTGCAACTGCATTTCTTTAAAAAAGCAAATACAGCCTGTCCTGTGGGGCTCAGCTGGTTGGGCATCATCCCATGTTCTGAAAGGTTGCTGGTTTGATTCCGGGACACATACCTACGTTGCAGGCTCAATCCCCAATAGAGGGCATGTGGGAGGCTGCTCATGGGTGTGATGTCACCTTGCTGTTTCTCTCTCTCTCCCCCTCTCCCTTCCTCTATTTGAAAATAAATTTTAAAATCTTTTTTTTTTTTTAAATGCAAACCTGGTTGGCATAGCTCAGTCTTGAGTGTGGACCTGTGAACCAGGAGGTAACAGTTTGATTCTCAGTCAGGACACATGCTCAGGTTGCAGGCTTGATCTCCAGTGTGGGGTATGTAGAAGGCAGCCAATCAAATTTCTCTCATCATTGATTTTTTTTTTTCCTCTCTCTCCCCCCCTCCTTCCCTTCTTCCCTCCCTCCCTCCGTCCCTCCCCTTCCTCTCTGAAATTAATAAAAATACATTTTTTAGCCAAAACCGGTTTGGCTCAGTGGTAGAGCATCGGTCTGCGGACTGAAAGGTCCTAGGTTCGATTCCGGTCAGGGGCATGTACATTGGCTGCGGGCACATCCCCAGTGGGGGGTGTACAAGAGGCAGCTGGTCAATGTTCCTCTCTTATCGACGTTTCTAGCTCTCTATCTCTCTCCCTTCCTCTCTGTAAAAAATCAATAAAATATATTTAAAAAATATATATAAATATATATATATAAATATATATATTTTTTATTATTATTATTATTATTTTTTTTAAACACACACACAAAAAGAAAACGGAATGGACACTGGGACGGGGCGGGCTTGCCTGGGGTGGTGGGAATGACTGAAGAGGGGTCAATTGGGAAAAAGGAGACATATGTAAAACTTTAAACAATAAAAACAAAAAACAAACAAACAAAACAGGGAATGACCTAAATGGCCCTCAATAGAAAAGTTAAATAAATTAGGCCACATATACTTGATGGACTTTTGTCCCACCACTAAAGACACTGGCCAGGGAGAGTCTGAAACAACAAATATCACTTAAGATAACATGCTAACAATGGGAAAAACACTTAAAAATTCCAAGTACCCCATGAATACAGCTTTTAAAAGACAAGAAAATTATAGCATCTGGCTGCACGTTAGGTGGACTACCTGCTCTTTATCTTCCCGAGTTTCTACTGGAAGCACAAGGAAAAGGGGTGCTAACATTTAACATGGATCTGTTGTGCCACATTCTCTGAACATTTTACAAAAATGACTTCCCTTCATCTTCGTACATGTTTTACATGGTCATCTACGTGTTTTACCAATTTAACCTCTTCTCCTCCTCAGTATAAAGAATGGAAAATAAGTTCTGAAAGCACAGATACTTTGTCCAAGGTCATGGGTGCTGGATGTGGTTGAGGTGTGTCTGACTCCTGGGTCTTCACTCTTTCTTACTCTACCATGCTTCCTCTGCTACAATGGAAACTGACCTGGTTTCTCTGCACCCAGCATACCTGAGGGATGTGACACACTCCCTGCTATCAGCTCAGTGCCTCTCGATGGCAGTGATTCTCACCGGGGTTGAGGCCTCTCTGGCAGCGGGGAAAACGCCCCATCGGAATCCAGATTGGCTACCCTGGGTGGAGGTGACACATCTCCTCTTTGAGAATCATTCTTCTAGTTCTGTCGTAATGTGGCTGTACAGTGTTAATTCCATCATTTAAAAATGTCTTAATTATTGAAAAGTATTTCCTGATTCCAACGGTGATTC